GGCAGCTTCTCAAGAAGGGCTCAGCTCCATGAGTAAGTTCAATATCACTTCACCCATATCCTTTGGGTTGGATTTGAGTGAAGTTCTATTAAACTTGGTCCCCCACCACCTTTCCAAAAAAAAAAAATAACAGCAGAATACGAGCCTCTGCAGCTCTGGAGTACAAGAGATTAGATTGCAAATTATTTATCTGGAGAAATTTTGTCACCAGTGCCAGGAAAGTCATAACCTTTCTTTCACATGAAACACCTCTTTAACCAAAGGCACTGAACATTGTGAACTGTGACATACATGGAATAATTGTATTTAGAAAAAGCTGAAGGTGGGGAAACTTGAAAGAAAATTCTGTTTTCATCAGAGATACATATATTAAACCCCATAATTTCCTCATAACTTACACTTGAAAGCCATCCAGAACACAGTTTTTCGGTTACATTTAAGTATTATAAATCATGTATTGTAAGCAACAATACTCAAGTTCCCATTTATTATTATTATTTTCATTAGAATGATGGAATTCGAGAATGTGAAATACACTCTTTGTCAACAAGATTAAGACTGCATTTAATGATATTCAAAAATCTGATATATTCATCTTCACCAGTTCAGTACTGGGCAGAATAATATGGCGGAAATAATAACATATCTTAAAGAAATATAATGAATACTGAAATCCCTTGTGGATACTTAGTAAAATAGTATACCCACTTAGGAGAGTATTTTCATGAGCGGCCGAAAAAAATCTTCTCTCCCTTCTTCCTCTTATGTTACATCTCCCTACATAATTACAGAAAACTCTTATTAATTGCATTTGTATTTTATAAAACTTTCGTTGGTTCCAAACCTCGAACCTTTTCTTTACAACTCCGGTACCTTACCTCTAGACCAAGGGTCTCCAAACTACGGCCCGCGAAAGAATTGTGCAGAAATGCGCCAATTGAACTAATTTTCCAGTGAGTACTGGTAAATGTGATTCCGAGCTTATTGACCTGACATATTATACTGCAGTTCGATGGCTTAGCTGTGAAAATAACTTAGTCTGTGATTTATTTGCACTTATCATGGCATTCAGAGCAAAGCTGATACTTCTGGAAAGCCAAGTGAGAAACTGTAACTTTGTTCATATGCTATACTGTGCAGAGTTGCATAGAAAGGATGAAGCAGAATTTCCTTCCTCGTTTACAAATTTAGTCATTTTAGATTTCAAAGAACAATTTTTGAAGCGATTTGCTGATTTGGATTTCAGTGCTCAGGAAATTAGATTGTTTCAAAATCCGTTTGACTGTGATGCTTCAGATGTCCCAAGTCAAATTGAAATGGAACTTACTGAACTTCAGGAAAATTATCATATTAAAGACAAATACAAGGAAGGAAATTTGATCGAATTTTATAAATTTCTGAACTCTGAGCAATTTCCAAATTTAAAGAAATTTGCTTGTAAATTTATCTCCATTTTTGGGATGACATATCTGTGTGAACAAACTTTTTCCCAGATGAAGTACATCAAGTCGAAATACAGAGCAAATTTATCTGATGAACATTTAAAGTCGCTACTTGTGGTTAGCGTTTTTAAAATTTGAACCTTAATTTAATCAAATTTTAAGAATGCAAAAAGAGTTCCATCATTCACATTAATTGTTTTATTATAATTTGCGATGAAAATATGAGCATTTGCTGCTACTGTCTGTTGTCATTAATATATGATAATTTATTCTCATGTACTTTGTATTTAGTTTATGAAATTCTGTGCTTTCAATAAAACTCATATACCTTGAGTTATTAATTTCCCATTTTATCCGGCCCGTTGAAAGTGCTGAATTACCTAATGTGGCCTGCAGTTCAAAAAGTTTGGAGACCCCTGCTCTAGACCACCATTGCATCTGTTACACTAACTTCTGCGATCCTCCTCATATTTTATGACTTTATTTATAGCTGCAGAAAAATCACATTTATTGATCACTTTTCAATTTCTATTGACAAAAGACACCGTGGTCTCGAACCCTGTACCTTCCCAATACTATGCCAATGTCTTACCCATGTACCACCAGATCTATACAAATTTGTTACCTTCACCTTCCTCATATAGTATCACTTGCTTCCTACATGCACAAATTGATAGCATACATCAGGACCAAGTTCATTGTACTGTCTCCCTGCAAACAGCTGCTCAGTGCCCGAAGAAATTACCATTTCATGGAACCCGCGACCTCACTGCATTGTTCTCACAGAACTCTTTGCGCCTTATTCTCAACTAGACGACTCCTGCGTGAGCTTCCTGGATATCGTCATGTGGGATTTGTGGTGGATACAATGTGGCACTTGGACAGATTTTCTCCAAGTACTTCGACTTCCCCTGTCAATCTTCGTTCCACCAACTGCTCTACACTCACCATCATCTAGGATTGGTACAATAAGCTACAACTAGCCAAAGTGCCAAATGGTCTCTCACTCCAATAAAAATAATAATAAAAGAATCCTGTCCACACCCCGCCACCTTGGCCCCATTTCTCCCAACATCCATCTAAATACTGTATTTGTATCCCCAGCATGTTCTTCAATTTATCCTACCAAAATACCCTTTGTATTCCTCTCCTGTGACTGACATGCCCTTGGTCCTTTACTCTTGTTATCTTCAAGTAATTAAATTTCAATTGAGAATTGTGTGGAAAATTGTTTTCTGACACACATGGGTCTTGTTTATGTGTAGGTAAGAATGAAAGGGCATTACTTTATAATTGACTTGCAAAGTTCAGGTTATCCACCTCAGTGTGGAGCAGAATCAGTATCAGGGTTGAATGTGGGTAGGACTATTTATGTAATTTCTTTACCTATTTCATTTTCGTTACACTGTTATTCACTTCTGTTGTTATAGGTGTATTCCTTCTCTTACTTTTGCCATATAATCCTACCTGTACTGAACTGGTGAACATGAACATAAGATTTTCAATAGTAATTGCATTTCTTTAAGATATATTATTAATTTTGCTATATAATTGTATCCAATACTGAACTGGAAGATGAATATATCAGATTTTCTTATATCATTAAATGCAGTCTTAATTTTGCTGACAAGAGTGTATTTCACATTCTTGAATTCCATCAATCTAATGAAGATAATAATAAATAGGAACATGAGTATTGTTGCTTACAATACATGATTTATAATACTTAAGTTTAACTGGAAAACTGTGTTCAAGTGTAAGTTATGAGGAAATTATGGGGTTTAATATATGTATCTCTGATGGAAACAGAATGCCGTGTAACTCATGACTATATTGTACTGTCTCAAATTCGAGGCACCTCCAACCTGGAGTACCAGGCCTCCATATTTTATGCCCTAGAAACAGGGTGGCCCAATAGTACTCCCAGGTACTGGGTTCCCTTCTCATTGTCTCCTATGACTCGCAAGGAGGTAGTATTTGAAACCACCACCACACGGGCAAAGTCAAAATCGAAGCCAAAGTCAAAGCCATGTTACGAATGACAATCAGTCGGCCAGTCAGTCTTGGTGTCAAGCCCTATCTTGGGCCCAAGATCAAATGTTTTAATATCGAAGTCAAGGTTACTTTACAACCGGGGGCTTACCGCCAGTTAGCCCTTGCGTCAAGCCCCTTGAGAAACATGAACCAGATTTTTTTTTTTTCAACTGAATCCTTGTGGTCATAATCCTTACGTAACATTCTCTCTGACAAGATGGGTTTGTCTCTCATGAATATGTTTCGCCTTTCGGCAAGTGTGCATATCACACACACAGTACATTACTGAAAATTTTCCTTTTGCACTACACACAAGTCTGCTCTCACTACAGCGTTTGCGAAGCAGATCATGCCTATCTTACGTATCTTATGCTAAAACAGAAGCTCAGTCACTTGAAAGGCCCAAATTGAACAGAATCACAACTGAGAAAAAAAAAAGGAGTCTTAGCCAAAAGAACTGATCATAAGAATATTAAAGTGGTTATATTCATCGCAGTCAGAAGTATGTACAGGGCAGGTTCGCTCAGGGCAGTGGCAGAAGAAATCTTAAAACAGAAGTTACATTTAGCAGGAGTACAGGTCAGATGGGACAGGGCTAACATCACACCAGCAAGTGAATGTACATTTTTCTATGGAAAGGGGAATGAAAACCGTTAATTAGGTACAGGCATTTTGTACATAAGAGAATTGTATGAGCAGTTATGAGCGTAGAGTTCGCTAATGATTGGATGTCATATATAACACTAAAAGGTTGCTGGTGTGATATCCGTCTGAATGTTCCTGGTCCAACAGAAGATAAAATTGATGACATAATGGACAGGTTTGATGAGGAACTAAAACACTGGAGTCACTCTAATCTATACAAGTCGTATATGGGCCTATTGCATGAACCAGCACTGTTCCTAATATATATCAGATTTAAGCATAAATAATCTTCATGTCTTCCTAGACACTCTTGAGCAACAGTCAAATTTGCCAGTGTGAAAAGATCTGGCAAGTTTTTCCTGCTGACTTTCCACATTATTTATATTATTACATGTTAGTGACTAGACAAGAGGTTTGGACAGGCAAGTGGATTAAATACTTAAAACTCGTAACAAGTAACTCGAATAGCCTCACAGCACACTCCAAGTCTCAGTCTGTTGCAGTCTCCACTGGTCACTGCTTGGCCACAGACTACAACGTTCTCTTCTGTTCACGTTGTTATAAGATGGCTACCATCTTACAACTAACTCATTGCCTCAACTGTGTACTACTGACTGACAGCTGAATTCTTGCTGGCCCTAACCGGCACAGTGATTCTTGGTTCTCAGTCTCACAGGACTCATGACTGAATTTTACTGACAGCACTATGAGCCTTCAGGTTATCCTCCTTGGCTGTTGCCTCTCACTATATAGCCTCACCTTATACAAAGAAATCGCTTCCAATAATTCTTCTATAGTTGCAAATGTATCCATTGCCTAGCAATGATCAGCTATTTTTAACGTGTTTTCCGGTCGTTGCCTAGCAATGGAAGGCTTAAGTAATCATGTCACAATATCAGTAACTATATTTCCAACCAATTCATTTACTACAACAGAAAGAAATCAGCATGCTATAAAACAACTTTATTGAGCATTAAATGTCAGAGACACTTGAAGGCATTTGGTTACAGATGGTCACGCTGACGATCTGGCACTTACTAACAGCTGTGCCCTTGTCCGAGAGTATGCTAGATCACTGCTATTCCACTGAACCATTTATCCTTTCACCATTTTCACCACCTGCCTACCAACAGACTTCTGCTGCATTTTACGCCATAAAAGAGCAAAACTGAGGCGGTCCCAGAGCCGCCTCCATTGGTGAGCCACCCAGCCATCGCTGTTGTCAGCCCACATGCCCATCCCTCGCTTCTCAGCCTGATTCTCAGCTGCAAGGAGCTGTTTATAGTACTGCATGTACACAGGGTCTTTCTCTAGTTGAAAGTCAAGTGATGACACAGATGCAAAGCCCAGAGACACAAGATCCACACCCACATTGCCAAATTTCTGCAAAAGAACAATCAATATACAGCATAATTACTCTAATCACATAACTATTTGTCACTATGTCATTTCCATGGAAACAAAATGCAAAACTAATTTCAATTGGGTATGAATGGCAGTGTGGGGGCTTGCGGTGGTGTAATTAGTTGAGGCACTATGCTACAAGCCAGAAGGTTGCAGGATCGAATCCTGATGATGTTCTTGGATTTTTCAATTGACCTAATCCTTCCAACCGGACTATGGCCCTGGGGTCTACTCAGCCTCTGACAGAAATGAGTACCAGGAATCTTCCTGGGGTGTAAAGGGCAGCTGGCACGTAAGGCTTACAACCTTACCGCCATCTGTGAGTCGACTGTCTAGAAAATGTTAGAGCCTTGTTGTCTCACAATCCTATGGGCTTCCACAGCCTGTTATAGGGACAGCTTTACCTTTTTTACCTTTTACATGAATGGTACTGTTTCATTTGGTAATTTACCTTTGCTGATCGGGGCCCACTAAGACTACTACCACCACCACTAGCACCACCACTGCCACCATTGTTGTTATTATTGTGCTTATTCCAGCAAGCTCTTTTTCCAGATATTTTCAAGTTCATAGAACACATATTCAGTGCAAAAGTCATTTCAAAGTGTCACTCAGGGGCTATATGCATAACAGTAGCTCAATAAAACGGTCATCTGTGGAAATCACAGCCAGAGATGGCAACAGTCAAATTCTCCTGTGAATTTTTAACAGACATTATGTTAGTTACAATTTGCTTCAAGGGGCTCCATGCACAGTGGATAAAGTGACACTGCATTCCAGGGTTCCACAAACAGCATGTGTGTGCGTGCGTATGTAGCATCTTGCATAACCCTATTTACTAGGAATTACATGAAGTAGTTTAATAATTATAGCTATATGTTTTGACCTTGAAATTATCAAGCCGCAATCTATGCACACTAATGAACCTACCATTAATTGCTTATGCTACTGATAATGAACAATATAATGGTATGTTTGGTAACTGAACTGAAATTTATAATCTCATTATAGAATACATGGCGATTCTAAATTACTGAGTGTCCATGGCCTATATACGGAAACCCCGACAATATTTTTGAAAGACTCTACATATCAGTTCACCCATGACACCATCATAACACCCAGTTCTCATGTCTTGCCTGTATCTCACACTTCATATAACGACTCAGTGTTCTGCCAATGTGTCAGTCAGGACCCCCTTATCCATGTGAAGCCACACAGTATACTAACCGTATCTGAATTGATGATACAGCTAAGAGACTCAGGATTCACTCTGAGAGGAGTAAATCTGATGTTGGTCCCTACCACAACATGCTGCAGCCATGACACGCCATTGTTTAGAATGTCCACACTAGAGATATGAACAGGAAGACACTTCTTGGCTGACTGCCTCAGTTGCCAGCCTACGACTGGGTGATGATCAACCAGCAGCAGTGGAGGTGATGACCCAATGGATGTCTCTACACAGACGACCTTACCAGCGAGTGTCACATGCTTCTCCAAGAAACCAACTGGAATTTCATGTGGTGAAGTGAACTTTTTAAACTAAAACATAAAGTTTTCCCCTCAGTCTTACTGTAATGTACAATTCGGATTATTCAGATTTCTGCATGCATAACAATACAGATAATACTATGGCAATTACCAAAGGCCAACCACATATACTCTGCAAGCTGATAATACTGGTACAGTTTTCATAGAACTTACTCTTGCCACTGGCGGCACCATAGCTCAAGCGGTGAGTCGCTGGCTTCCCACCTCGGTGGCCCGGGTTCGATCCCGGGTCTGGTCAAGTGGGATTTATGGTGGACAAAGTGGCGCTGAGGCAGGTTTTCTCTGAGTACTTCAGTTTCTCTTGCCAATCTTCACTCCACCAATTGCTCCACAATCACCCTCACCTATCATCTGGGGCTGGTACAATAGGCCAGAAGTGACCGCAGTACAAGGGACTTAGTCCCACACCACTAGCAATAAAAAATTACTCTTGCCAGTGGTACACTAAAGCTCAGTGTGTCTCATTGTGTAGTATAACGGTCAAGGTCAATCAATTTACCACCATTCGTCTCATCTTCTCTTGACTGGGGATAGCACTACAACACCAATATTTTCCAGTTGCTGTTTTATACTTTTTGCTCTTTATGCTAACTGAAGATGGTATGTAGGTTACTGCTCCCATATTATATTCTGGTTGTCCAAGTCTGATTTCTGGGGCAAGAACCATGCCTGGGGTTTTAATGTGATAAATTCTTTAGTTATTTCATAATGCAGTATCAACGTCATTGTTCAGTGAGATGGAAAGATAACTATAAATTGTTTGTATGCATGAATTTTGAAGATAGTGTTTGCAGCACTAAACCAGCATTCATGCAAACTGAGAAAACCCTCACTCAGGATAGCCTGTAGGCTGGCTGAACTTGTGTACTGGGTCCTTATGCAATATCAGTTTGGGGCAATACCACTACATCAACGGCTCGATGGCTTTGTGTTTCAGGAGGAGAGGGGTATGGACCACTTATGTCCAGTCGGCCTGCATGAACCAATCTGACACAAAGTGGACAGAATTCCACAAATGAAAAATTGGAATCCATCAGGCCATCAATGTATCAAATACAAGAAGTAAAAAATTCCAATATTGCCTCTTTTAATTCCATAACTATCTCTTATTCTTCTTACATATCTGACCACTTGAAAATGATTAATTATCGCTACCAGCCTTCAACTAGACATTATTGTCATGTCACAATGTAATGAATCCGTAGGAAGAGTAAGGTACCAGACCATAATTCAGTCAGATGTATTTAATTAAATCTCACCCAAGCACTGACACGAACGCCAAAATATAGCACAAAATCTTAATACAAAACTAACATACAGAAGAGCTAGCGCCATCTGATATAAGGTACTAGCGAAAACGGTCACAAGAATATCCAACAAGAGTTGATCTTTACACGCTGCCCATTTAACAATTTTACTTAACCTGGTGTTAGCACTGTAAGCTAAAAGTAGTCTTGAACCTCACTTTACCACAATTCGTTGTCCGGCCCCATGCTAAAAGAGTGACCCATAAACTGTACTTACCGGTCGGACACTTCGTAGCGCCACGGCCAATCCCAAAACAGCCACGGAATAAATGCCATACTAGAAAGGAACAAATATCAGTGTTGTTTCAACCCAGGCCAGTGATCATCGATGTACTCACCTAATTTTTCTTTTTCCTTCAAAATATTAGATTAAATTCGGGTTCAAACACTTCATCTCACTCCCTTTATAACCCTTCACCCACCTGCACTCCTTTGATATTTCTTTCAATTAATAGTGTATATTTTTCGAACCAGTGGCGTTCGTCGTCCATTCCATACAAATAAATTAGAGCATCAAAACTAACGACCTTCGAGAGCTATTTTTCCATCGTAAACATTCTATTTTCGTAAGTCATTTGTTTTAGAACCTGTCATTGCTTCCCTGTTCTGCGGTCATGCCTGGTCTTGCCGATGACGGAATACGTTAAAATGGCTTATATCGCTAACGTAAACCGTATTGCGTAATTCAAACGTTCTTCCATCAATGTTTAAATTTACTAAGCACCTTTTTGTAACACCATTAATTTCATCACCGCGTATCGTACTATGTTGTGTAACTATTATTTGATCATCCCAAACAACAAAGACCAACTTGTGTTGTATTCTGTTTGTACTGCTTACATATAAAAAGGGCAGGTTGCCGTCACACAAACGTATTGACACACGTATGTGCGACTACATACGGGGTCTGGATTGGTAACTGCATTTTACTGATCACTAAGGGCACTAAGAGCGAGGACAAACCATGGAAACTGGCAACCGCAATTCTCGTGAACTGTTATCAGCCTGAGTTGAACACACGTTAGTGAATGGAACAGGGCGTTGCTGTTTCCTCAATTTGCGCTGCTCCATTCAATAACATGTGTTCAACTCGGGCTGAAAATAGTTTACGGAAATTGCGGTTGCCAGTTTCCTTGGTGTGCCCTCGCCCTACAAGTAACTATAGGGCTTTTGCTGATTCACACGCTCTACAATTCACTGCAGCATACTGTTATGTCTGCTGAGTCTTCACCAGTCGTTTCCTGGTAACGGGTTTCAATGGCGGACGTTCCCCTAACCCTGGGTTCACGAACTATGCTCATGCCTCAGCTGCCCGCTTCTAAGAGCAACAACTCACAATGACTGAAATGCGGTTCACTAACTTACCAACTTCTCCTTAATAAAATTCACAACTTTGAATAATACAGCAGCTTTGCTTTTTATTTTTAAGGTAGGGATGACAACAGTTTTAACTTAGCAGTAGTTTCTACTTTTTTTTATATAATAGGCTCTCATTGTATTTAAACTATTTTTCTCATATCTATATAAATTAAACATTTTCAATGACACTTTTTAGCCCCCTCTTCAACATTTATAAGGTGTCCTGAATTTGAGGGTGAGAAATATGGTCACCTTGGTAATTATAATTTAGCCTGTTAATTTTCAGTCAAGTTTTCATACAGGTATACTTTTACTTTGTCACATTAATCCATTTCCGACCTACTCCCACGTACCTCATCACTTGTCAAAACTTTTCTTTAAACAGTGTCATAAGCGTTTTCCATATCTATAATTTTTTAAAATATGTTCCTACAATTTATCTTAACACAGAATAGCAGACAAGGTGTTTGGAATGCCACAAGGGACAAATGGGAAGCAAAATCTTCAAACGCACAGACTGGCACACATACAAAAGTCATTTTTCTGCATGGTCTACGTAGAAAGGTACAGAACCACTGCATGAAATACAAGCTGGCAGATAAGATAAAAAGACCAATAGGTGCACATGTTAAAGAAGGACACTCAAATGTAGGCTATGTGATGTTGTCAATTCCATAAATAAAATGTTGCAATAAATATCTGAGGTAAAGGACTAATAGTGGGTTAAATTTTTCCCACAATCACTTCAAGATAGATTATATCAAATTTTGGGAATGTCAGAAAACGACAAGGTTACTTCTTGGTTTTGGCTTAAAAATTTATTACTTATATTTTAATATCCAATCAAGTTATGTGCCTCAAACATACTACTGGTTACAGCTAAACTACCTTCTGATCAGTTATAATAAAGTCTGTAGTACAATACATACAACTGTATATTACACAGGTGAATCCTACAACGAAGGTAGAGGTCAGTCATTCTATTACGACTGACCTCCCATCATCATTTAGTCTATACTTCTTAGTTTTATGTTACATATGTAATAAGTAAATACAAATAATAATTGTTTATTATATATAAGTTTATCTTCCTCTTTCAACGTTTAGAAACATTCCTTCTGCTTAAATGTCTTATAAATGCCTTGTTAAAAAGAAACAGAGCACCTCAATGCCTATGCATATGGTGGGTCCATATATACCATACAAGCCTGTAAAAAGTATCCAGTGATTTAGTGCAATGACAAAAATTGGCAACTGAATAGATTTGATAATATTCAGCAACTGAAAGTAATCCACACAAGAGCAAAGAAAATTGTATATAATATAGGCATTGGAAAGGGAGAGACTAAAAATTACTATATTTGTATAATTCTGAGACAGTCTTGTTGCTGTGATCTCTACATGTATGGAAAACACTAGGTCTATGGCAAAGAAAATTTTGTACATCTCCACCTGAAAGTTCAAACAACAGTTTCTGGAAAAGTTTGGGTTCCATAGTTAGTTCAATATATTTGTTTCACATACCATAATTATAAGCATTTAAATCCACATAAATGCAACTATGAATATGAAACTTGTAGCTGAAAACTTAAAGTGAACTTCACATTAAGATTCAAACAAGAAGTAAATCCTCTCAATAAGCACAATCAAGTTATCTCAGTTATAGGAAGTACCATTCAAAATAATACATCGGCCACATTAACAAAATCACCATACGAAAGCTATAAAATGCATATAGGAAACTTTCTGAAATGCATGTTTCCATATGTACTTTACACTTTGGTGGTTCTGCAACACTGGCTGATCTTGGATCCAGACAAGGGAAAACTTTTAATTACCAGTTATAAGATGATCTTGCCAGAGAAGTAAATGTCAATNCAAAACTGTACAAATTTAATATTCCTAAATTTATACCATGGAGATTAAGACACTTGCAAAACTGATGTAATCTTACAACTGCACAAAATGGAAATATGGGAAGTAATGCATACCCACATTTATAGTTACAGTATTGCTACTCGCTTGGTTTCAGTTTTTAAACTTGAAATAATAGTATGGATGGATTTGTATTTATTTACTCTTTCATACCCATTTTCAATTTCGTACCGTAAGAAATACAGTGTGACAATGCTTGCATGGCACATCAATGTTCCATGTAAGGTGGGTCCCTTACAAAGGTAATCTATTCTGCATATTCCCATGCAAGATTTTATTTCATATTAATAGAAATCTATTATAACAGTAACCAAACTGTACCTATTATAGATACAGAACTTAAACAAGAGTACTGATTTGAAAAATGCTTTTATTTCTCAACATAATCTCCCTGTACATTGAGGCACTTGTCCCATCGTTTCACAAGCCCCTGAAAACCAGTAGCGCAAAATTCTTTGGGCTGCTTTTGGAACCAGGCGTTAACTTCCCTTTCTACAGCTTCATCTTCAGGAAAACGTTTAGCCGAAAGATGATGTTTAAGAGGGCCGAACAAATGGAAGTCGCTTGGAGCAAGGTTGGGGCCATACGGAGGATGCTCAAGGACTTCCCACTTGAAATTTCAGTGTCTCATTTGTCTTGTTGATAGTATGGAGACGCACGTTTTCATGCAAGAGCAACACGCCTTTGGTGAGGAGTCCTGGTCGCTTCTGTTGAATGGCTTTACAAAGTTTCCTGAGGATGTTACAGTAGCAGTTGGCATTTATGGTTTGTCCTTGAGGCTGGAATGCGGTGAGCAGTATGCCTTCGTGATCCCAGTCACCGCCTGGTTCTGACAGCAGCCCAAAGAATTTTATGCTGCTGGTTTTCAGGGGTTGTGAAATGATGGGACAAGTGCCTCAAAGTACAGGGAGATTATGTTGAGAAATAAAAGCATTTTCAAATCAGTACTCATATTTAAGTTCTACATATATTTGTAACTTACTTATTGACTTACCTACATATTTCTATCATTTCTAACAGATCTCTTCAATTCAAAACTAATCTCTCTTCTAGCCTGCCAAATCAACACTTGCTGTTTGTGTAGTTCAAGAGAGCTTTTGAGCATGAATACCAATTCCTTCCTTGTTCTTTCCTGATTTTCTGGTCACCCAGATACTGTTTCACAATCTCAATTGGACAATGTTATTAGTACACCATGGGTAGTACATCTTACTGCAACTGTATTGCAATTCTGTGCATTATTACCCTTCTAATTATAGGAAGCAACCTGTACTTAACACCCACATCAATTTCACTGTTATCACACTCTGGACTTCATTTTTTGTTATTGTCCCACAATATATTCACAGAATCAATATCATAACCTATGTCTAATTAATAGTGTGTATATATATATATATATCACATCAATTTCCACCACCATATGCTTATGCAAGCAAGAAGCTTCTACATCCGGGACCTTTACTTCACTGTCATCTCCTGTAACAGGCTATGGTGGTGTGAAGTTATCCCTGTAACAGGTCATGAAGGCCCACAGGGTTGTGAGATGTTGAAACTTTCCACATTTTCTAGACAGTCAGCTTGCAGATGGTGGTCAACTTGTCGGCCTTACATGTTAGCTGCCCTTTACCCCCACAAAGATTCCTGGTACGCATTTCTGTTAGAGGCTGAGGCAACCCTAGGGTCACAGTGTGGCTGGAAGGATTAGTTCAATTGAAAAATCCAGTGACCTCATGGGGAATCGAACCCGTAAACTTCCAGCTTGTAGCATAAACCAAGTACACTACCATGTGACCCAAACACCTTTGTCAATGGTTTTTGTAATTTGACACATTCAGGGGCATGACAATATGATTTTAGCAGGACCTTCTCCAACTACCACTGATGCCAGATGCACTCCTGTAGCTGCACTGAGGTAATATGTTCACTCCTGTGGTTGATTTTATTGTTCTGCTGTATCAGAAGAACTAAGGTACCTATTAATTTTACAAGTTCTGTTTTGTTACAAGTACCAAGGGGTTAAGCAATCTCGGATACCGCACAGTGTCTGACCCATTTAAATTATAAGAAATAATATATGAAAATAAATTGCGAAAGAAAAATGTCTTTACTTTCTACAAATTCAATACTTCAAAATTTATTTATGAATGCAGTAATTTTGAAGGTCAGTTACTATATGTAACTCTGTGCACCAAAATTAATAGATAAATATTTAATTGAAAGCAGATTCTCTTTATTCTTCCCTGTGAAAACATTAAGCCATGTGCCATGCATGAAACAAGCATGTGATGATTTACCCTGTCATGATTCAGTAATAAATGGAAAGACTGCAATACTCACGATACGCTGGATATTTATCACTTGCTATATTATCCATTTAACAGAAATGTTTACAATATCAATACACTTATATACCCAGGGAGTTGTACTGATTGAATTAGCTTTGTACCAGCTCTAAACTAGTTAAAACAGTGTCTTTCCATTTATGTAGAATGATTAAACCTTCTTTCCTGAACTAAAAGGTCAAATAAATTTCAAAATAAATGTTCACACTATTCATCTTTAAAGAGAACATTCACTGTGAATTACAAAATCACATTCACATGCATATCAAATTTCTTCTGTCATAATGAGACTACTCTTATACATAAAAACCATTATTTAAGCCACATTAACAACATTCATTATGGTCTACAGCACTTCAGTTTGAGTCTTGTAAAAATATATGTTTATATGCTTCAGATTCAACTCCCTGTCTATATCACAATGTGGAAAGAAAAAAAAAATGCATCTTACATGTGATATCAAAAATCTTTCATTCATACAGATTATCCATAAATGGTGTTGTGAAACTCCCCTACAACTGTCCTCCGAAGCAAACAGAACAAATTACCCTATAAATACAGAAAAATTAAACACCTCACAATGCACACTGCAAGCACGCTTCTTACTGTAGTTTCAATATCCGTAAAAGAGTATTGGGAGACATGGGTTGTAAAACAAAACTGTAATTATAAAATTCAATGGCAATCCAATATATCTGAAGTTCATGATCTCCAAGATCTCTTTTGAAATGTTGCAGTTGGTTCATAACACACTGGCAAAAAATCCAAATATTTATGAAGCATGCCAATGGGTTCTTTATGCTAAGTAAAATCTGAAATTCACTAATGGTAGAGGTAGAGCTTGCATGTTGTTCTTTCAATCCCTGAACTTTTCATCAGATTTTATCAAATTTTCTGGGAGACCCTTAGTAACAAAACATGAAGTAGGACTAGTGTTNCCAACAGTATAACACACGCAGTCGCAGGAGCACGACACAACAAAAGCACAACACACAAGATAGTGAAGGAGTGCTCCAACAAAGGAGAATGGGCGTGACTGACGTAGTGAGGGGCGACGTAGCGATGTGGTATCCTGAACAATTTTAATATTTTAACGTTTGACAATGTATATGATAGATACATATTTTAGTTATTTTAATGTGTGAACATGGCATGCAATGAACTGGTTTGACGTGGACAAGTAAGCACCTGAAGATGGCATTATTATGCCGAAACATGTAGTGCGAGGGAAAGGAGATAAATGAATGTATGCACTGCAAGACGGATTAAATAAATCATGGAAATGAAGTAGGACTTTCAGTAGCCAGTTAGGGCTGGCAGTGAAACTTCATACCTATAATTTTAAATCTACATCATATAGAAGAACATTTTCAACAGATGACAGTTAGAGAGACAAAATATTTACCATGTTCATATGTTGTACAGCAGAAACACTATGTGATGGACCCTTGGACTAGGACATCTGTCACAGTCTAAACAACCTTTTGCTTGCAGCAATATTAAAACTTAGTCTCCTTCAGTCTTGATTGCATGTACAAAATTTTCCAATAGGAGAAGCACCATAAATTTAAACAAGCTTTTTGCATAGGTCTCTTAGGAGCACAAATACATCATTTGTCACATATACGTTCTTCATACAGACACTCAGAAATGGAAAATCTTTACGTCCGCAATCCTGCGGCTATTATCATCAAAATTAGGTCTTAATATTATCCCAATGAATCCTAAACATATACTGTACTGTTGCAATGGCCTCAGCCTTCCTAACACACACATTTCTTATAGTTCATAAATACACAACAGTGTCTGTGTTATCACATTAACGTCCATATTCTCCTTCACATAGAAGGAATGTCAATACATGTGGCATCTGAATCAAAGGTTAGAGGTCGGCTAACACTGCATGAAACCCTTGTTTGGTATGTAAACTGTGTGTAATGATCAACTGACAGAGTCATCTAGTGTTTAAATAACATGATTTACATCTTCCATGTGTCAGCAAATTTGGTCCATAAACAATGAAACTGAATCACTGTATAACTAAAAATTATGTTTATTGAAATAAAATGTGTATTTAAGTATGACATAAATATTCATATGTATGTAATATGACTTCTAAATTTGTCTTTCAAAAAATAGTGGAACACCTTAAAAAAGAAACCTAACCAATGCCCATTCTGAAAAATGGTAGTTAACTTCAAATGCACAATTTTATCAATGTTTATAACGAACAGTTTCATTCAGAAAAGCAGGTTCACTTGTAGGGCTAGGAATACTATGTACCAAAAAAATGTGTTAAGAAGTCATTCATCCATACATGGTAAACTCTGTAAACACAGAATATGAGACTAAATTTATAACAAAAGGCCCTAGGAACTTTCATTTCATACATCAATTATGTTTTTCAGAAAATAAACAATAAAATTCAGCGCGGAAACTTATTACATGCCTCCATAATGGAATGTATGACTTTTGCCAAACTTACTAGTGAATGAAACAAATTCAGGATTTAGATTTCACGTAACAGTCTAACCACCAAAGGTCTAATTGTGAAAACAAGTTTTGTCTGCTTATATTTTTCTCTGTGCTTTCTCAAATACCAATGACAGAGGAAAATAACACAATTCTTGTATATTTATAAACATTAAGCAAGACATAAAAATATTTTCCACAATCCCTGGCAGCTTCCTAGGGGAGGGGAAATCTAGAAAACCAAACACAATATACTTATCACTTTATACAGTTCTTGTGCTCAAAAGTAGTCAATGTGCCCTCTTACACAGAACTGTTTTGAAATAAAACAACTTTCTTCAGTGAATATTATTCTGATTTCTGCTTTTGACTTATAAACTAGTTTTCATAAGTCTACATTCATTTCCTGGTTCTCTCAGGATACATACCCTGCTTACTGTTAAGTGCCTTGATTTAATTATGCAAATAACATAGAATATAAAACATGGTTTTCCATTGTGTAATACCTTCCATAATCTGCTTAGCTCATGGTCATTCAATTCTATCATGAAGCCTTGTCAAGGCTATAACACAACTGTTAGCAGTTTCTTCAAAAACAAGAAGTATACTTAACAAGATGTGAATTTATGTTATCAAAAGCTGCTGCTTTGATCTAGAAACAATGATTTACAGAAAGGGTATATACATATTTGGTTCCTAGTTGCTGATATCAGTTTTACTTATGGATGTTACTGATCTGCGTCCCTAGACAGGACATTTCCAGGAAGATGGATTGGCAGAGCTGATCCAATGCCTTGGCCTCCACGTTCACCAGACATAACACCACTGGATTTTTTCCTGTGGGGTTATGACAAGAGCAGTGTGTTCCGAATACCAGTTAACGGATTTCACAACCTGAAGACCCGTATCAGGAATGTGAGCTTGGCTATTCCAGCAGACATGCTCCACAGGACATGCAAGAGCTCAAATATCATCTGGACGTTCTCTGTGCTACCAAGGGGGCACACAGCGAGGTCTACTGAGGTCATTAAAAGACTTCTGGAGTTTCACTATGATCTGCCGCAAACCACATGTGGCTACTTCAATTTTTCAAATTCCTGACAGAACTTTGTGGACACACTGTATGTACTCTTATCATTCTGATCAGGCCTCACATTCTTGCCCTTAACAAAACTGAAGCTGTAATTTTCTAATTTACAAAAACCAATGTTTATAATTACTTTGCACAATCCTGTAAGCTCCAGCAATTACGGTTCTCACATGATCAGCCACATCAATGTTGAGTTAAAACCAACATATCAGAGATCCTTTCTATCTTCATCGTTAAGGCTGATGTGTTGTGTGACCATACATTACTGATACATACCAGACTGTCAGATCGATGCCTCATCCCACTGGCACAGTATATAACAGAAGGGTGGAGTCATTGTGTGGTCACCTATCAACTTTAGCTTGACGTGGTGTTTCCTAATTTATCTCCTCTTCCACGTGTTCATACTCTTCAATGCTATCTGATCTGTCTACATGTGATGAGCTGCCTTCATGTTATATGGATCAGACAGAACCAAAGAGGACAAGCAGAGGGAAAAGCACACTAAAAACCAGATCAAATAACTGACAAAAAGAAACACCAAATTAGTGAAAAGGTTTCAGGTCCATTATTTAATGACACTGCCAGTACTGAGAGTATATAGTACCAATGAGAGGGTGATTAATGAATGTGGGACAGTTAGTGGAATGAGAATTGGCAGGGGAAATGAAAGTGATTGTAGGAAACATGCCCAGTGCCACTTCGTTCACCATAAACCTTGCATGACCTGACCTAGGATCAAACCCAGGGCACCTTGGTTGGACCTTAAGCTGGTGACAGGTTAGTCAGGCAGGTGACCCCATAATTTTACTGTCCTCGTGCTGCATAGTGCACCAAAAGGATGGGGTACTGATTTGATAGTCTGGTACATACGACAGCAACATATGGTTATTCACATCGACCCTAATAATGGAAATGGAGATCTCTGAAATGTTGATTCCTAACACAACTCAAAGTTTGGTGATTATGTAAGAACATTTCTGTTTGGGCAGGAAAGCTTCAACTCTTACTCCAGCTATCATGTTCATTTCCACCTGTTTGCATATGTTGGTGCTGGGATGACATTACTGAATTAAACGCATTCATCCTAGTGAAGGGCGAGCTATTGCTCATGTTAAATGGCAGTATTGGTGAATGAGAATTTCTGAAAACATTGCATGTGTACACACAAAACAGGGGCACATGAAATTAAACATTAAAAGTTTAATGAAAAGTGTTCATCTTTTTCCATGTGCCATTTTCAATTTACATTTTCATGCCAACATCTCTCATCCTGCTGTATCTACTGTTATACAGTGTTTTTGCAATTAACATACAGACAGCACACATGAAAAATTCTCTCACATATTAAACTAAGGAAGTACGACTTGGAACTTCCATGTAGTATGGTGACTAAGCATTTTCAATGTTATACTAACAGAAAATTTCTGATTCCATCATCCAGACCATGTTAATTTACAAAAACATTAATGGTGATTTTCAGCAGATTAATTTTAACCTGAAGTCTTTCATGATTAATTAACGTAAAACATAATTTAGTAAACGTAGGCGCAAGCTGTCATTGAAATGGTTGAGTGAAATTTCAGGACTGCACACATTTCTGTCATCTTAAATTGCATTTAAACAGGAAGAAACAAAAATCTTCAGAAAGCATTCAGTACAGAACTGCTACACGGTGAAACATTTTTAATAAGGATGCTACTGAAATAGCGAGGACAATTCAAAATATACAAGAAACACGACAAAAATTAAAATAAATCGTAAATAACAACTAACATCTTACCAAGTGTGGATGATATGGTGTTCTGTATGTACCCACTTTCACAGCAGTTAAATTATAGTGCGTACTGTTTAGTACAGGAATCTGAATTATGATCGCATTCCCTCCGTGGCTACAGCACCAACAGAATCACGACTACTGTATACAAGCAGTACCAGTGGGCCATTCAACACCATCATATATACATGTATAAAAACTAATTACATGCATTTCTGTACGTATATTCCCCATGAGAACATCAGCAACATCACACATCACACATGGGCTGGACACCATCAAATGATGCACCTTTCAAAACTCCACAAATGTACATGAACAGTGTATCTGTGAAACTCTTACGTTTAATACATTTAGGTCTCGTGTAACTTCAACAAATATGAAAGACAACAGGACGAGGCTCACAAAAGTGCACTTAACACACTTCAAGATTAAAATGGAATTTAAATGGTCTATATTTTCCTTGACAGCAATAGTTAGCAATAGCTGGTACAGCTATTAGAAGATGCAGAGGTGTTTGGGAAGTGACAACTGATAACAATTTTATGCAACTACTCTCAAGATTTGGCATGAACTGAATATGGCGAAGAGTTGCAACTCTGACTCCACATGCCACCAACCTTCATGGACCTAGTTATACCACCATGCTTTTGGTACTACAAGATTTGTTTTATGAATAGTAAAGGTCCTCAAATTTTCAGGAGCATTCGCCAATGGCAGAACTGAAAGAGGGAACAGAGTGTTACATGCATGCTACTTTGAAATGATACAAATAATCAGGTTCCTTCTAATGATGAAGGCATTCAGCTATGGAGCTAGTCACTTGCTTCTACGAGCAACCAGCAATGGCTTCATCAACTTCAATGTAACTGGAAGCACCCAATGACCAGATTCCATCAGTCCTGAATGACGAAAGGGTGACAGATGTTGGAAATGACTGGCAGTGTACCCACATCTTAATGCGGCCTCCAAAGCACATAATGGCCCGGCATTACCCAAATTCACGACTATGGCAGCGGTGAGCGACAGTGTTGGCCAGCAAGTGATCTGAATTATGGCACTACTGGGGAACAGACGTGGCTAGTACGTCACTCCTGGACCACATAATCAGATACTTTTCCACTGCTCTAAATGGTTTCAGTGTATATAAAGACTCACTGATATGAAACAAGAAGAATTTGTGCCTGTCAAAATGAGACAGCTACAAAACTGTAAATAATTTTAAGGAAGTGTAAAGGAAGGTCTGACAGCCTGTGATATCATAACTTAACATTTCTGAGTTGCCACCTCTATGGAATCCTTATCCATAAGAGTCAAAGGATCCAGAAATCAACTTATCTACCATGAGTAACAGGAATAGTTTACTGAGAATATTTTAATTGGGTTCAAACCACCACGATACGTTCTGATGCAACAAACCAATGCGTAAAAAATACTACTACACTAAGTACTTGTTTCAAATTATGCCATTTAAATAGTACAGATATTAAGTATACATTTCATGACAGAATATTAGTCTAGAATCAATTATTTAAATAATATTACAATATTTAAGCTAATTATAACTATTCCTTTACAAAATTGTACACTTAAAAGTGTCCTCTGAAAAAACATAGTTTCTTCTTTGCACATTGTAAATAAAAACTAGGCCACTTGCAAACAATATCTGGGGCAGTATCAAAACTAACAACAGGACTACCCTTTTATGACAATTTTAGCTTGAAGAAGATAATGGACCATATTTCTTTCGCCTTACGTTTCATGACATATATATATATAGAATGTAAATAATATTCCAGGATCCCCATACACAAGAATTTCAAGTCTGATGCTTGTGGACTCATTTACAGTTTTGGCACCCAGTTTGTGCTAACAGAACGACTTGCTGGATGTTTAATGAGAGGTGACTTTGTACAAAACCATTTAAAGAGTGACAACACAATTTTCACTAATGTATTTAGTACATGATTCAGTACACCATCTCCAATAACATTAAATTACTGACATCTATTTAAAACACTTTCAGACAAACACAATTTCAAGATGCATCATGTACATAAAACATACTTCTGCATGGGTAAATCTTGCAGGAACAAATAATTTAACTGTCAAGAAGCGAAAGTAAATATATATGAGTCACATAAAAACATTACAAACCCTGTCCTCCCGCCACTCTATACATATTTATATTATATTTCAGTCTTTCAAAGCTGTAATGGTCTACTTCTTAAATCAAGTAACACACACAACCGAACACTCAAAACCTTTCACACACACAACTTAAAACAAACGCTGGCCATCAACACATTTCAATTTGAGCGAGCAATGCAAGTTTTCATGCAGTCACCAGTTTTCATGAACAAGCACTTTATTTGTCTTTTTAAAATTAAGATTAATATTACATTTCTGAATTTCAAAATAAAATTAAAATAAAAAAATGAAAACAAAATATTACACTACCTGTAAAAGGCAGGCCAAGGGAGATGCTTATTTTCTTTACAGACGTGCGTTAACCAGAAGACAAGAATATATATTCCAGTCTATTCACTTGGAATCAATAACAATGCCATGCCTACTTCAGTCTCCTATTGCAGCAAAACAATGCAACAAACTTTATTTCTGGGGAGAGAAGAAGAAGCCAAACATAAAGCCCTAAAAACATGGGCGCTTCATGCATATAACTTTCGGTTTCCTTGCTTCTCTTCTCTAACGTTAGCAATTTATGCGAGGCACAGCATTTAGACTAAGGAGGAAAAACATGTTTCTTGCAGGTTTCCAGTTGTTTGGCTAAATATTTCTGGAACTCCCTTTCCAGCAGCAACAATGGATTTAGGAAAGATCTGAAAAATAAAGTTTTCAAATCAATACATAAGAAAAACAAAATGTGTAGATGACAACTCATTATATATTGTATTGTATTATACTGGAGAGGGTGGGTTTCCCCATTCACTGAGACCAGTATTGGTCCATTGTGCGTCCCCATATGATATTCTACCAGTCTCTATTCCCTACCGGTACTGGTGCCTGCCATCAGTTCCGACTCGGCCAGCGAGTTCGGCCTCTACTGGCTCAGCGGTATCTCTTGATGCTTCCCCCATCTACCACAGGCGTTAGAGACTACTGTTGGGCGGGAAATGTCCTGAATTTGGCTCAGTGGTCCCCTTAGGACATGAGGTTCTTTTACGTGCCATAAAGCTACGACACGGGACCCACGGCTTAAAGCCCCTCCTGGAGGACTTGTTCCCTGAATTTTTCCGCCCTTAAAAATTCCACGACCTCCGCCAGGTTTGAACCCGCGTACCTTGAGTCACGAGGTCGGAACGTTACCCCTAGACTACGGAGGCCGCTAACTCATTATATATGTTTCCCATTTACAACAGCCACTGACTCCAAAACTGTGCTCCAGAGAACCATGAAAGCCTGAAAGTTCAACAGATAATAGTAGTGACTACAGATGGGGTTTGGATTTACTGACCAGTTACAGAGGGTAATTACAAGTAACTATAACAGCCTCACTGGCTTACACACTCTAAGAATATCACCGTAACCGCAGCACACTCAAGTCTTCTGTCTCGTCCTTTGCTTATGCCCTTATCTGCTGGCAAATATCCCAGAACTGACTCATTGCTCCAATTGTCCTGCTTATAAATCTTGGCACAGACAGCGCAGAAAACACTGTTCCTCTGTTGTACTTCAATTGCTGCTTGTCAAGAATCTGCTACCTAGCATCGGGCATTCTTTCATTTTTGTATCATGGTCATTGCCTAGCAACGGGTCTCTACATTCTACAGCATTTTAGCATTATACTGTCTACACAATATTTTATTCAGTTTCAGTCTCACAATATATGCATAATTATATGATAATTATATGGGTTTTACATTATGATACGCTTTGGCCACTATTTCTGGCCATCATCAGCAGTACTTACACAGACCCTCTCAACTTTCTCTGCTATCCTCCTCCACTGGCCAATGTATATAACTGAAGGATGGTTGTATTGTTTACAATGTCAGTCTTTAGTTACAGACGTGAACAAATGCTGTAAATTATATAAACCTTTGTCCTGGTTTTCTGAATGGTATGCATAATTCGCAATACGAGTGTATTTAAACTTTGTGTCAGCCTTAATGTTGTTTTCACATTATTACTTTGGTTTCAATGAAATTAAAAAAGATAGAGTAATTTGAACTAGTTAAAAAGAGCAATACTGCTTAAATTATTATTCTTATTTTTATTACAATTTTGTTATTTTTATTTTATTTAGATGTGTAATTGTGGGTCCTGTGTACTGATTGTGTCCCTGATGAGCACAGTAGCACCAGGTTCTCTTAGGGTACCTGTATACTCATACTGGATGCATATTTTCATCTTTTATGTGGTGGTCTTATTTGTATCTTGAAGCTGTGTTTATCATGTGTTCCTACAACACACACACACACCATGAATACATGCAATGTGAGCCACATAAAAAGCGAGAATACGGATGTGGGACAAGAGTACATGTAGCCTAAAAGAACCTGGTTCTACTGTGCTCATCAAGAAAATGATCATTACACAGTACCCAGGATTACACATCTAAATAAAATAAAATATGTAACAGTTTTAGCAAGATTAACAGTTGCCCCATTATGGGCGGGTATGGCTGAAACATGCAGCGAGCAGCAGCAAATAAAAAATAAAGTTCCATTTTAGACAAAGGTATATGCGCATATAAGTTGTTGCTACGAGCTGTGTGTAGAAGAGTTCGATAAATCCTATCACAAATGCAAACCCTGTCCATAGTCACTCATACACATGACAAAATACTTTCAAACACGTAACATATAAGAAATTAGAGCCTTGTAATTTAGTTGTATCACTATAAGCAAGCTTCCTGTTATATCAAGATGGGCAGAGTGTCCACAAGTGGACTGAGTGCTATTAGTGGATCATGGTGCAACAAGCTGACACACAACAGTATGCTGCAACTGACCACAGAGTGGACATGTGTTAAGAGTGCTTGTCACAATGCCTCAGTCTGAACAGCAGGTGAACGTGAATATCTTTTCCAAACTAGGGAAATCAGCAATGGGAACTCCTACAGGCTCAATGTGGTTTATGAAGACAAAGCTCTGCTATGTACAACTGGTACAACTAATATCCTTTTGACTAAAAATTGAGCGAACTGCAGGAACTTTTTCATCCTTCCATGCAGTACGGAACTTTACTATTCAAGATGGAATGTGAATGCTTAATATCAGAATACAGGTTGAAAAAAGTGCACTTTCAAAAAACTAGTCAGATGTACAACATTTTCAGGTAAAGTCGTGAATGAAAATAACAACAGTATTAATGTAAATACATCATTTAAGATATATGATATAAATTCCGTCCTAAGTGTAACAATTTATTGTAGGTCTTTTGTTTTGCCTTCTTCTGCACTACATATTTCGGCCGCACNGTTGAAGTTGTTTAGGAAAAAGTAACTGCATGCATTTTAGCGACATAAGGTTTAAATGGCCTGCCAGGACAGGGGTGGGATTTAAATACCCTTCGCGCCAGTCAAAGAGTTAAGAACAAATTTACATAGCAATGTTCAACACTACTACCTAACTGCAGTAACAATCACCCTCTGACAGCTATTTCTATTATGAGACCTCCAAAATATTTCATATACTTACAACTCGGCACTGCAGCAGCCTCAAAGCGTTTTTGTATTTGATCATATGTGAACTTGACAAAGGTGTCATACTGTTCCGAGAGCTTGGTGTTCAAGACACGGTCATACTCCTCTCGAATTTGACTCTCACGTTCTTTCAGCATGCGCTCACAAATTAAACCAACCTATGCAGAAAACAATATCATTCACGGCATATTAAGCACCTGTAATTTACATTACAATTAAAATCATGAACAAGGTGTAAAGGGAGCAGTATCAAATCTGAAATATTATTATTTTTTTCATTGCTAGTGGGTGGGACTAAGTTCCTTATATTGCAGCCACTTCTGGCCTATTGTACCAGCTCCAGATGATAGGTGAGGGCGATTGTGGAGCAGTTGGTGGAATGAAGATTGGCAGGGGAAACCAAAGTACTTGGAGAAAACCTGCCATAGTGCCACTTTGTCCACCACAAATCCCACCTGACCAGACCCGGGATCGAACTCGGGCTGCCGAGGTGGGAAGCCAGTGACTAACCGCTTGACCTATGGCGCGGCCTAAATCTGAAATAAAACAAAAGTTTAAAACACTGAAGAGCACACACACTGATGAGTGGATTCTCCCAGATCACTGCTTGTATATGTCTTGCACAGAACTACAACTTGTACTGCCATATTAATTGCAACTAACGCCATCTATTGAGTGCCTGGCCTGCTACTTAGAGGCAAACCAAATTTTGGTTCCACCATGAATATATGAACACATTCTTTATGAAAATATGTATATATTTCATCGAAATATTCTGAATACAGGCTATATCAAAACAAGCAATAAAGCTGTACCTTTTAATGTCAAGCAAAAACAGTTAATCACTTACCTGTCGGAAGGTAAATAAAGGCTTTTCCTTGGTGCTTGATGAGTATGTGGTAGCAAAGCTTGAGGTAGTTGGTGATCCTGGAGAATCCATGGCACCATCAGATGAGGATTCTTGACTACCATGGACATCCTGACCTGGATAAAAGCTGAGTTGCTTACGGCGATGCAACCGGCGTATTTCTTCACGAATGTTAGCAGCCATCTTTTCTGAAAATGAACACAACTCATGTTAATTTTCAAACATTCTCCATGTAGAAATATGCTGATCTTAGACAATCAAGGCTGCTCCTTTCAAAGCAAACAAGAAATATACAAGGTGGTTCAAATATGACCGGGACTGATTTGTGTGTAAACAAGCCACACTGCGCAGGAGCTGTGCGACCTTGAGAGAGTGAAGAAGTGCCTCAGAGAGGGCAGAGAACGTGAGGAGAAGGAACCGCAAGATCATTCGTGAGAATAGGCACATCACTATCTAGAACTTGGAGCAATGCTGTCCATCCTGCACTATCGTAAGGTGAATGCACGGTGGGTATCATGCACTTTGACAGACGTGAACAATATGGTGCGCATGCAAGCTGCCAGTCGTCTCCTACAGCAGCTTGAAGATGAAGGCAATGCATTTTTTTAGTTTATAGTGACCACCGATGAAATGTGGGTGCACTACTTCATTCCCGAGTCCCAGCCGTCATCACGCGAGTGGCAGCATACCAGTTCTCCCAAACCCAAGAGAACGTGGAGGAGCTGTTTGGGAGGAAAAGTGATGGCAACGTTCTTCTGGGACTGGCAGGGGGTAATCCATGTAGACTTTCTGACAGATGCTAGAACAGTCAATGCAGCTTATTACTCAGACCTCCTGGCAACAGGCGTGAAGGAAATGATCCAATTCAAGTGGAAGAAAGGTGGAAAGCGGGTAGCCTTCCTTCAAGACAATGCATGCCCCCATACAGCCAAAACAACAATGGAAACTCTCCAGAAATTGAAATGGAACCTTCTGACACATCTGCTGTACAGTCCTGATTTGGCCCCAAGTGATTTCTACCTGTTCGGGAGGCTCAAATCAGACTTGCAAGGCATGCAGTTTTTGGACAACACCGTTATCCAGACTGTTTGGGAGTGGATACGCCGCACAACTACAAGCCTTTTTTGAAAAGAGCATCAGGATGCTTCCAGAATGTTGGAAAAATGTGCTGACTCCAGAGGGGGGTATGTTGAAGACTAACATGTGCAAGAAAGTGTTTGGCAATTATGGTTTAAAAAAAAAAATCAGTCCTGGTCATACTTGAACCACCTTGTACATATTAACAGAGACCACACAGACATTCTCTTCATTGAAATAAAAATTGACCAAAGATGGTCCAAAACACAATACCCTTATTTATTTATTTACTTCATATCCATGGATCATTATACATGATATAGGACAAGTCCCATGCCCTGAGAACTTCAAATGAAATGGAGTATATCACTTTTTACAAACTTGTGACAAACATGGTATTGGTGAACAGATAAGCAGTGAAAGGACAAAAATTAAATAAAATTCATTACCAAATTCATAAGTAACTGCTCAACTATATTTCTGAGTATTCCTTCTTGAGAAGCTAATAGTGGCAGAACATGACTATCTCAGAGTGTTTGCCATGAAACCTTATGCAGTGTAGCACACAAGCCACTGCAGTGTGCTAACATTCCTCACTTGGCTAAAGTGACAGCTTGGAATGTCACTCCCTTCACCCCTCAAGCCTATACAACATCATGTTTCTTTTAACCGCAAGAACAAACCTAAAGAACTGGCAGATGACACATTATCCAATTGCTTCTACTGCCAGTATCACTGAACCATAAAATTAACACATTTTATTTTATTTTTCATAGTGTTGGCTAATTTAACTTTATTCATTCTGGTCTGCAACACTAGTTAAATATTATAAAATGATTTTACAACACCATCCACTGTGACTCAATATATATTTATATAATGCCTTTACATGTTTCGGTCAGTTGTGACCACCTTCAGAAGGCTATAATAACACGCTAAGAACTGCTATTACATAGTACATAAGTTTAGAGTTTTTATAATGATTTTTAATTAAGTTAAAAATATATTATTAATGTTCTTAATATTTAAAATCTTGAACCGCTGAGGTTTCTCTCCGTGGCTCTTCTGTCAAAACGGGAGATGGGGGTGTTATTTACCATCCTGAGGTCCAGGCATCGTTGTTCCCCACTTTTTTATATGACTCGTCAAGGATCTGTGTTGTTAAGCTGTTTCTCCATTTGCTGTGTACTGAGGTACATTAACAATACATTTTTAACTTAAATGCCATTTAACTTAATTAAGTTTATGTACTATGATGTAGTTGCAGTTCCTTAGCGCGTTGTTACCGCCTTCTGAAGATGGTCACAACTGACCAAAACATGTAAAGGCATTATATAAATATGTCACATTGGCCGGTGCTGTTACATCATTTTATAAGTTCAGCTAGTGACTAAACGTTACTGGACCCAATACAGTAGATATCTCCCGCCCCTCATCTGAGGATGGAAAAACACCCAGTTTCTGAAACGCTGTCTTCTTTAGAATACCAGATGATGAGCAAAGTTTACATAGTAATCCTGAGTGTTATACACAATCATCAGAACCCTTTAGAACCTACTAGTTAACTAGAGCACATGAACATTGCTAACAGACACACAGCTTTCCAAGAAGTTAATAGAACCCAAAGAATCACTACCATTTTCACAACAGCTCAGTGCCACATTCTATCTTCATCCAGTCCAAATTCATTATAATATTTTTGTGGAAAACTATACCTAAGATAAATTCTTAAATACTGGATAATGAAACATGCCAGATGTAAACAATCATTACATATTTTGTTAGTTTATTGGTTAAGAATTTATTGTATTTTTGTTAATTTTATAATTTACATCATGTGACATGTCCTACATCAATGAAATCTGATCTATAGGATGAATAAACAGGAATGAATGAACCATGTGGTCTCTTCCCTTCGTGTTTTCTGGCTAACAGTTTGTATGGATTTTTCAGGTCTTCCAACTACCTCATATTCTAGCACTTGACTTCCCTAATACATTCCAAGTACAACTTATGAAGCTTCTTAGTACACATTTCTCCCATCTCCTGTCGGTTCCCTTCTCATGTTCATACAAAGTTATTCTCCTCAGCACCTCTTCTCAATCTATGCACTACCCCCTGCACCAGTGGGGTGTCTAACCTGGTGGGGGTGAACAACTATTTGGTTCAGGGGGGAGCAAGATACTATAGGAAAGACATACAGGGACATAGTTTTTATTCCCAGTCCTACTCTCTCTCTATTCTACTTGCTTCTTTCAGTGTTCATACACATGTTTTGGCATATATAAGGTTACAAGTTATGAAACTATTCTCTTTTTAGGGCCATCTTACATTACAAACTTTTCAATTCAAGTTCCGAATCTGAAAATGTTCTGTACCTAATTGTTGGTTGTTCATTTCATGACTCTGGCCTAAAGTTTCACACAGATTGCAATTATCAGTAGAACAGCCTTTTTTTTTTTTTACCACGGCTTCCTTACACAAAGTAAACCCAGATGAACTAGTGAAGGATGTGCGCAATTTGTCTATCAATATAATTTTGTTTTAAAATTCACTAGGTATCCTATGGTCATTATGAATCCAGTTACTTGATCCTCATCTAGTGTACAAGTAAACTAGCTTCACAAGACGCCATATTCGAAATTAACACACAAAATATATTTATTCCAATCATCAATCTGTAAGAGTTTCCAGATTGCCGACCATGTTTTGGGTAATTACTTGAAATTATAAACATTATTTTTGACGCAGAATTCAATTACAAAAAGTATATTCGGATGTGGCTTGCTTTCTTTCTTTACAGCACAAAAACTATATTTGTGGAATATTGATTCGTTACCAGGTGTTAACTTCGGGCAAACTTCTCCAAAAGGCGATGGATGTTGTTTTGTTGATGGTACATTTGGAGAAATGCACACTGGGGCACATCGTCGACGTTTAGATGGTCTTCCATGATTATGAACAGGGTCGAAATCCAGCGTTCTTTTTAACGTAGCGCAGGCCATCTTCCTCTGGCGTTTGGGACTGAACTAAAACCAGAATTTTAACAATACCTATAACGTTCAAATTAAAAACATCAAATGGCAGTTCAATAAAAATTGTGAGTCCTATGTACAAGCTCAGATGGCAATATGAGCTCGATGTTTATGGATAAATTTTAATTCACTTCATTACACAAACAGCCAATATGGCCACCGACGATTTAAATCACAGTGTGTACAAGATCGAAGTTCAAGCTTCAAGTTCCAAGTTTCGCGTCTCAAGCTTCAATTCAGAGAATGTCATATACCACAATTACCTTTGGTTACGTTCGACTTCGATAATTACTGCCTTCTGACTGGTCGTGTCCTGAAATAAGAGCTCGAGGGGCGTATTTTTGCGACGTGACTTTATTACTCAACGCCGTAACTATAATTCAGCGTAATTATAACACAAATGTTGAACAAATAATTACACAATCGGTCTTTTCGTGTTAATAACGCTCAGTAGACTGTAGAACTGTAAACTCCCACTGACCACTAACCACTGGCTTCTATCAACACACACTGCTTCCGTTCGGCTGCCAGTTCTTCTTATACACTTCAAATCGGACAAAGGGAAACGTCCCTTCCAGCAGCACATCTAACGTTACGTCACATAGGGGAAGTGTCCTGGCAACGCGTGAGTTATCGGGTCGCGCTGTTCAGGTTAAAAACTCATGTGATATTCCATATCATCAGGTTTGCATGAAAATTTACGACGTTGAATACAAGTATCTCTGATGGAAATAGAATTTTATTTCAAGTTTACTCACCTTAGCTTTCGTAAACACAAGTATTTTCTGTATGTTATAGTTCACAATGTCCAGTGCATTTCAGTAAGGGGCTGTTGGATGAAATGTTCATACATTACAGGCACTGGTGAGAAAAATTCCCATCATGGGTTTGACTGAAGCGATATTAAACTCATTTACAAAAAAAGAGTAAGAACCTCTGCAGTACAAGAGATCAGGGCGGCAAAAATATTTATTGCTATTTTGTGTACTAGGGATTCAGAGGGAGGGGGGCAGTTCACATAAGCCAATGGTATGATAGCATAGCTTCTTACCGACAGTTGTTTCGGCAAGTTTGTAGCAACTAACTTGCAGAGGAATATAGATGGCAGCATTAATGCTTTTGTAACTTCACATGAGCTACATTGACAGCCAGCAACTGATTTGCCATTGGGTAGNGCAACATTATTTATTGGGAGAAAGTTTCTCACCAGTGCCTGTAAAATAAGAACATTTCATTTACATCAATTATTAATTCTAGCTATATGTGTGAACCAGCGATTTTTTGGGAGGGAGCAGTAAAAAAAAATGCTGGTGGTATAATAGCATACTTTCTTACCGACAGGGCAGGTGATATGATAGCATACCTTCTTACCGACCGAGCCCTCGGCACTGGCTGCAGCATTTTTTTGTTACGAGAATTGCAGCTGTCCACCGCGGCAGCAGTGGCTGTGTTGCCCGCCAATAGCATTGAGTTGCATACCCTTGGTAGGGAAGATCATTTAGTTCAAGTTTTAGAAACTGCATATGACTTCACATGGTTACAAATACTTATGTGAAAGCACCACTCTCTGGATCATTAAATCGCGCTTGCAAAGCCCAAAAAAAGTCAAGTTTTGTTTCGATCAACATGCAGGGATAACATTCAGTATTTCTGCAGTACAATCACCACAAGTAATCATTTATTCTTGAGAAATATTATGCCAACACTTGCAACAGCTAAAATTGCATTTTAGGAACTGAGATACTTGTATACCAATTTTACTGGCTTTTATCTATAAAATAAAAATGCAAGTCAAGTTTTGTTTCAATCAACATGCAGGGATAACATACAGCTCTAACCGTTCATCATAATTTGCCAGACCCTTTCTTATTAATTGAAAATTTATTAACTTAAGACCACGTTATATACAAACAAAGATCCGGCAGATGGCCACCTTTTTAAACTTAGAAGTGAGACAGTTCAAGTTTTGCTATGTGGACAGGAAGTAACATCTTGCACATTTCCTGGAATTCTGGCAGTTCAGCAGAGTCAGAAAGTCTTTGGGAATTTGAGAGCTGACAGTTTGGAGTGGCTATAACTTAGGAGTGACTGAGTCTCATCCCCTGATCTTAATAGAGCATGCCACTGTCAACTTTAGCGTTAGGTCAGTAACTGCCAGAATCACATAGCAAAGCAACATGACTGGAAATCCACTAATTTAGGGAACCTCCTAGTTTGAAAACTAGACCAATAGCACAAGTTCGAGGAGTGGATTTCTCTTGGATGCTTTGGTTCGTGGACCTCAGGAATCAGAGAGAGAGAGATTATTCTACCAAAGAGGAGCCTGCATAAAACTTTCAGCCGATTCAGACACAAAAACTACGTCACTTCGCTACAAGTTCAATCCGCGTAAGTGTAAACTATTTGAGTTTCCTTTATGTTCAGTGTTAGCTAAAGTTAAATAAATAATAACTTAAGTGCAAAGTTGCTTGTAGTGGTTGTAGCATAAGGATCATCCTGCCCTGCCCAAGACAGGCATGTAAGACCCTAGATAAGAAGTAATCTCTACCATTACAGAGCAGAACCCTTGCCTACTAGCACCAGCACCCATAATTCTTCTCCTTTCCCTAACTTCTTGACATCTACGAGACAGGGAAGGAGGGCAGTTATTTCAGTGGACGCATCCAGGAACATGGTGCAGGTGAGCTGCAGCACAGGAAAAGGGATACAGGTGAAGAAACTATGTGACGTAAAGTTGGGCAAAAGATAGTCAGGAGTGACGACCAAGGCCAAGTTGCCAATGAAGAAAAGGACAGTTATAAGTGACAACCAATGGTGGTCAACGAAGAAGGTCAGTTATACAGTATTTCTGCAGTACCATCAACACAAATCATCATTTATTCTTGAAAAAATATTATCCCAACAATTGCAACTTGTACAAATACAGTATGAGCTTGAATATATAATATCTGAAAAATTCACTTGAACAGTGTTGTAATCCCTGATGACTTTGCATAAATTTCAGAATTTGTCCCTAATATGAAACTGATAATCTGAATAATATGAGAACTGTTTATGTTATTCTGATGTACAATAAGCAAAACAAATCACTCCAGAGTTTCATATCACATAGCAACAAAGTAATACATTCCTGGAAAATTCTGGAATGAAGAACATTGAATATCCAGACTAATGATCACTAATACCAAACTTCTTAATCACAGATTTCCCCCTGGAAAAGAAAAACATCATCAAATGAAAACCCATCAATAAAACATATTTACAGTGTAGTTTATGTTCAGATATCTCCACCAAAGATCCTGATATGTGTGTTCACAGGTCCATAGCCTCATTTTAAAGGTGAAGATACTGTCAAAATTTGATAAATGTCTAGCTTTTAATATATGATAATCAAATGTTTTCTTTAAAACAAACTCAGCAAGTAGGCAGTAACGCTTCTCACTTTCATTCAAGAGATACCCCCAGTTTGAATTTTGCCCAAAACACCAACTATCCTGACTCACTATTTTCAAGTATTTTTCTCAGCCCCTGCAGGTAAATCCCTGGACAGTACCTTAAATGGGGTCATCACTTCTTCCTGCCGCATCCAATCATTCACTGCTATACAGTTTAAATTACTCACATCATTGTTAAATAAACTACAAATAAATAAATAAATTCTGGCAACAATGTATGATAATATAACAATAAGTTAATAATTATGTATCTATTGATTGTTTCTTTACTAACTTTCACTATTACAGATTACAGCTGCTAAATTTGCCACATATGAGCTCAAGGTTTCACATCTCTTGAGGACACATCATACCTTGAAGAGTAATATTCTAATGATTATGTAATGATCTCCATCAACTTTCTGATGATGATATACCCCTGCAGGAATCTCGAGTAAACTGCATAATGAGGAGAACCATAATTTGCACTTCTCCTCAAATATTAGGATGATGAAATGGGTGGGGCATGTAGAGTGCATATGCAAAAAGAGATATGCATACAAAGTTTTGGTAGCAAAACCTGATGGTGAGAAAGGTTAGAAGATCTACGCATGGATGGTAGGATAATATTAGAAATGGACCTTAAAGAGATTAGATGCGAAGACTGAATTCATCTGCTTAGGATATGGACTAGGGGCAGGCTTCTAAGAACACAGCAGTAAAACTTTGGGTGTCACAAAATGCTGAGGCTTCCTTACACATGAGCAACCCCTCACTTCCCAGGACAGGTCTGTACCATGGAATTAAATTAGCTAGTGAAATCAAAGATGCTGACAGTATTATTTTTTTTATTGCTAGTGGGGTGGAACTAAGTCCCTTGCATTGCGGCCACTTCTGGCCTATTGTACCAGCCCCAGATGATAGGTGAGGGTGATTCTGGAGCAATTGGTGGAATGAAGATTGGCAGGGGAAACCGAAGTAATCGGAGAAAACCTGCCCCAGCACTACTTTGTCCACCACAAATCCCACTTGACCAGACCCGAGATCGAACTCGGACCACCGTGGTGGAAAGCCAGTGACTAACCGCTTGAGCTATGGCGCGGCCTTATGCTGACAGTAAGTCTTCTTAGATAAACCAGACGTAACAATACACTATACTAAGACTGTGAACTAAGCTATGTATTACAAGGATAAAAATAAGTTTCATCTCATGAACTGAATCCATGATCATGCAACATAAGATATTGAGAGGGAGAGGCATTAGATTTGTGACAGTTCACAAATCAAGGGCAGCTGCAATGCCTGCCCAAAGTGAACGAACTGTAGCAATCCATACTGGTTATTCTAATGACGCTTACTTTTGAGTCAAGTATTCACATTCAATTAGGAATAAAATTTAGCACATTTTCACTTGAATTACAAAATTTAAAATACAATATACTTACTGCTCATTCCTGCTTACACGATAGAACACTTCCAGTTTTTCAACTTTTGACAGACGGTCCAAAAATTCTTCATCGTGAGTAATGATGACCAACTGGAAGTTTTTCTGGGTCAATCTTGTATTCACAATACTGAAAGTAAGTATCAAATGTGATCAGAAACCAGGATCCACCATAAATTGGGAGTTACCACTATTACTTATCTTGTAACCACTTTAAGGTTCCAACACAGATCTCTGCATCTCTGTATATCATTCATATCATGGCCAACCAACTTGTGGCACATTAAAAATTCTTTTCATGCCTTTCTTGGGGCACATATTGGAACAATAATCACAGAAGCAAATTCTCATTCTCTTTGGGAACGTATTAACTATTTTGATGAAGTTATCAACAGATGTTAATTTTCTTTAAAATTAATGTGATGTATAATTAGAACTGTTTTAATTTATGTGCTTGAAATCCAAACATAGGTAGGTACATTCATTAATGAGAAACCTGATGGTGAAAAGCTTAACAAAGACAGCATTTCTAGATATATATAACACACTTCACCTATAGGTATACACTGCGACAGGAGACGACCATTGCAAGGCAACAGCCCAATAAACCTGCTCTTGTGACAGTGGATCTGCATGCGGCATTGAAAAAATTGTTGGATGCAACGTTTTCTGTACAGTCTATGTGGGTATATAATAAGGACCAAATCGAAGTCAGTACTTGACAGTTAGTCAGAGGATGAAGTTCGTGGTTAGTCTCTTCAGTTGCACTGTTAGATACCACTGCCAAGCAATGGCTAGTGAAGACACAGCAGACTAAGGCTTAGTGCTTGCAGTATGGATGTGCCATAGCTCAGGCACTTCGTCACCAGCTTCCCACCACGGTGGCCCAGGTTCAAGCCCATGTCATGTCAGATTTGTGGTGGACAAAGTGGCACTGGGGCAGGTATATTTCAAGTAGTTTGGTTCCCCCGTCAATTCTCTTTCTGACCACTCCACATTTATCATCATCTGTCATCCAGGGCTAGTACGATAGGCCAATTAGTGGCCAACATACCAAGTAGACTCAGTAATCTTACCCCACCGCAAGAAACTAAAAAAAAAAAATAGTATTTGCAGTAGTCATTTGTAGCGTGTACATCAGTGAAACTGCCACGAATATTTGTAGTTATAAGTGTTCAATATATCCAATTATCAATCCAAACCCTGTGCCTACTCATTAACACGTGACAATATGGTGGAAGAACTGAGGCACAACGAAGCATGGTATAAGAGGTAATAGTCTCCGGCAAGATTTGTGACGTTATATGGTAATAAAGCCTGAATGATTAGAAAATCACACAAAAAACCGATTATCAGTACAAAATATGAAATTTATACTGAGAATGGCAGATTACACATTAGATGATCATCATCAGTAATCTTTCAGACGACAGGTCCACAGTCTCTTCCAAAACAGTTCCTCCACTTAATGCGATCTAGAGCTTTCTCCTTCAAATGAGACTATCCTCTTCTGTCCCCAAAGGTCATCCAGCATCTTCTTACGTCTTCTGGTCACTTCTATACGCCCCTCTATCTTTCCTTCAATAACTTCTTTCAGAAGGCAGTTACTGCGTAAGATATGACCAATCCAATTAGCCTTCCATTCTCTTATTTCGTGTAGGATATTCCTCTGCTCACTGACTCTAAATAACACTTCTTCATTTCTCACATAATGGGTCCAACTGATCTTCGCCGTCCTTCTCCAACACCACATTTCGAAGCTTTCCATGTGTTTGTGATCTACTGCCCCAAGTGTCCAAGTTTCAGCCCCATTCAAAGCCATGCTCCAAATGTAGCATTTCACTAGTTTCTTTCTCAAATTTAAGTCCAATTTACTGGTAAAAAGATTCTTCTTCTTGCTAAATGCAGCTTTTGCCATGGCAATTAGATGATATGTGAAACAATAATTAAAACCCAATCAATAAATGTATACATAATTACTGAATTAATTAAAAATAATGAAAAATGGCATAATAATACACAGATCATGGCATAACCCGAGAGAGGAAAAAAGATTATGAAAACCACTGCATGCAACTGCAACAGGCTGCAGACCCAATACTGTCAAAACCATAATGATGATGAAGAACAGAAATACAACTTAAATGACTTCACACATTCACTTCAAAACAACACTCACTCCGCTAATGCAGTACTCAGACTTTCAATGTTTTCCCGGTCTAGATTTGTTGTTGGTTCATCAAGGGCCAGCATACCACAGTTTGAACTGAAGGTCTCTGCTAGAGCCATACGGATAATCAGAGATGCCAGGACCTAGGAAACAATATACAGATTGAAGTAGGGGAATATTATGATCCAAAGGTAAGCTTCTTGCACCACATAATCAGAATTTTCTGTTCTATGATTACAAAAAGCTAACAAATCCTGAAAATTATTACCTTACTTACTTACTTACTCATGGAGCTGAGCCCTTCTTGAGGAGCCACCAATTCTGCAGCTACTCAAGAATTTCCCAGCATTTTATGGAACCCGAAGGTTCATTACCGTGTTCACAAGAGCCCTCCACTGGTCCCTATCCTGAGCCAGATCTATCCAATCCGTACCATCCCACCATATCTCTCTAAGATCCATTTTAATATTGTCCACCCACCTACACCTTGGTCTTCCCTGCGGTCTCTTTCTTTCTGGCTTTCCCACCAATATCCTATACGCATTCCTCGTCTCCCCCATTCATGCTACATGACCTGCCCACCTCATGACTTGATCAACTAATACTTTACTTAATCCTTTCCAATTTTATGAGCATGCTAGAAGTGAAACAACATTCAGATCTGAGCCAGCACCCCAATGAAATAGTAACGTAAATTGTCCCTGTGCTCTGTTAAGCAACATACCATAAAGACATGTGAGCAGTGGAGTATAGTTCCATGCATTCTTAACCCTAGCACCAGATGGAGGTGAGAGGTCACCTTCACACCCTGCACAATTTATCAACAGAAAAAATATCCTCTACATATTAACATGCGACACATTTAATGATACGAGGAGGAAATGAATTTTTCTGTTATAAGATTTGCATCAGCAATAAATAAAAACCAAGGCCAGACAGTTGTGTAAAATTATGAAGACTGAAGCACACTTTTCCAATTTTATACATAACATGAAAATATAAATACAAAAGAAAAAACACACTAATTGATACCTTCTGCCCAGCACTGCAGCGCCCTCTCATATCAATTTCTACATCATTCTTCATCTGCACCACCCGGTAATTATAGTTACGCCTCTTGTCTGCAGCTGCCAAGTGCAAAGCAAATTAATACAGTTACAACATATCCAAGTTTCTGTATTAAACATGCATTCACATATATGCAGATAAATATGAGTGCACACATCCATACTTTTCAATTATGCACAGGAAGACTTGCATCTAATGCAAGTTACCTCTCACTGTCCCGTAACATAACCATATGTATGGAATTCTGAAAGCCATGTGTAAAACGTGAACCGGTGTGTGCTTTGGAAAATTGTCAATGGAGTGGAGAACTTTGTTCTGTAGGCACTGCAATTTCATTAGATGGGTGTCTGCCGCAAATACTCCTTAGTTATTCCCAGAATCTCGTTATAAAGCCTTCGTGCCGACCACGCAGAAAACAACCTATACTGCTGGAACATGTTTACTGACCGATCGCATAGCAACGGTCATAGTGACGACTGCATAGAAAACATTGCACTCCAATTGTTGCCTTGCACATATTTGGTCACAAGGTGTTTAACGGTCTGTTACCTAGCAAAGCTCTGTCCATCCACATTACAACAACAATATACTTCTAGGCACTACCCTTCATGGGATTACCAGCTTAGCTTCCACAGCAATCTGTTCTCCCAGTCTCCAGTCTCCAAACCACAACTTTTCAGTGCTTTTAATCAAGAAATCAAGGTGACAGCATTCCTATTTGCAAACTACTGAACCCTGAAGGGAAAGGTTATATGTGAGAAATTTTCATATGGTGATAGTGAGTAACAATTAAAAAGCCTTGATGCTTTCTTTTACGTGTATTGGGGAAGGGGGGGATGCTGATAGTCACTTATCACCAACCATCTATGTTAGTACAGACTTCAATCAGCACTGCCCAGTTATGTAGTGGGAATCCTTATTACAGGGCACCTAGGTCAGTATTCTTTGACACTTTCAAAATGCTCACACAGGTGAACTACCTGTACATATGTTCCCTTTCCTAGAAACAGCACATTAGTTAAAATAGATTCATTACAGTTTAAGTTTACCACCCATGATTTNCACAGGTGAACTACCTGTACATATGTTCCCTTTCCTAGAAACAGCAAATGAGTGCTTGTCTAGGCCTAAGTACAAGATATTTACTGCACACAATTTACAGTGACTTCCAAGTAAAGTTAAAAAAATGACTAATGTATCATGGCATGATATAAAAGAGTATGGAGATGTAGGTGAGGCTCCATATATTCTTGAGATGCCTGTGCCACTTTAAAATGCTTCATACTTCAGGGAACGAGCCATTGTGACAAAATTGGAGAAGTCAGGATAGGCAAAAGACCATTCTGAACTTGCTGCTGAAGGTTAACGACCCCAGAAACACAGATTCTGAAAACTGAATTTTGCCTTACATATGGGCCTCAATGAAAATTACATATTCCACACAGTTTCATCCACGTGTATCAAAATGTATTCTTGTCATGCCAGGTGTTTCAAACTGCTGATACTACAAGACTCCAGAAAGTCAAATGCAATGTCGATATGGTAACTAATTTATAAACAAAACAAATTATGAAGAAAGCAGTCTTCTGGGATTTGACACTGTGTATATGTGGTGTTAACCGACGTTTCGGTCGGTTAACATCGGTTAACACCACATATACACAGTGCCAAATCCCAGAAGACTCCTTTCTTCATAGTCACCACCGTGAAAGCCTCAAAACTTACAAAACAAATTATGTTAATCCATTTTGTACTAATATTTAGCCTCAGCCATGGTCCCATGAATCAGTTCCACTTGACTGTTCCAGATAATGTTATCCTTTTTATCACATAAATTTCCTTTCAGGGACAGAGGATTAATTTTTTAAAGGTTTTAATGGGTTAACACAGGCACGTGAAGAATTTTGGAATGGAGTTTTTCTTATAGTTACGATAAATGCTTCTTTTTCAGGTTCTAATTACACTGGATACAGTTCAAAATCCAATGAGTCTACATATCCCTAACAGAAAGCTGCCACTCCTAATCCCAAGAACTTATACAGAATGGCATGGCACTGGAGTGGCTATCACCTGAGAATTCTGCATCGCCTCTTGGTTATTACTGCTGACAGCAATGGCAGTGCTTTTACACCCTGAAACATGGTTTCCATAATAGGTGTCATGGAAACTGGAAAGTGTGTTACAAATTATTACGAGGGGACATGTAACACACAGATATGACACCAGAAGTTATTCTTTTATATAATTACAACACAACAACACACACAGAACTTACTTGAATGCTCAGGCACATCCGTCTTTATCTCAATGTAATCTATGTCATTTCCACGGTAAATTTGCCGCCACAATTCACGAATGATAGTGTTTATCTCTCTCATTCTTTCCTTATGGAAGTGGAGCATGGCCCACTCTGTGGCCTGATAATAACAATTCAAGTCACTTACAGCTGCTTCTTCAACCTAGAAAAATTAATATCCTTATAAGTTTTACGTTTTTGGGCATTATCCATCCTCTTGTTTATTTATTTTAAAAAAACTGTCCTGTCTTCTTTGAAAACGTTTCAGGGACTGGATTCTGTCCCTGTCCTCAGATAAACCTACTCAGTTGGGTCCAATAGACAGAGCTAGCCCCTACCTCCAGACACCTATGCCAGTTTCAGAAGTGGTTCATAAACCAAGTACAACACAAAGCATCTGTGAGAGCTAAGAGACTATTCAACTCTTGAACCTCCACACATATGAGGCCTAGCACCAGAGAAGTGTCTGGAATGAAATCATACCTGGAGAGAACCAACACTCCTTGTGGTGCCAACACAAGGAAAACAAATAGTTCCCAGTCCAACTACACTTGACGGCGCTGTAGTCTCTTGACTTCTGCTGTGATGATAGGGGTCCAGATGGGAGAGATACCCACACTGGGCTGACTGATCGGATGGTCCAGCAGAGACATGTGGGCTGATTTCTTGTATTTCTTGTATGTGGTGTTGGGCTCAATCTGCAAGACCTTTGCTTCATTCCAACATGGAGCATGGTGCATTTTGATGAAATGGCAATGGACACAGCTGAATAGACCCGCTAAATGGCTAACATATGCCAACGACACATTTGTGACATGGCCATATTGACCAGAAAAGTTACAGGAATTTCTTCAACATATCAACAGCATCAGGCCTACCATCAAATTCACTATGGAAGTTGAGGCTAATAATGCACTTCCATTCTTGGACGTTTTGGTTATGAAACGGGGTCCAAAACTGACCACTAAAGTGTACTGAAAGCCTACTCATACTGGTCGTTATCTTCACTTCAAGTCCAATCACCCACATCACGTAAAAAAGGGAGTCGTTCATAGTTTGGTCAACCGCGCGAAGGTCATATGTCAAAACCACGAGGATTTTAATGATAAAATTAAAAAAATAAGACATGATATGATGCTCAGTGAATATCCAAAGGAATTCGTGGACACTGTAATGAATCCATCAGCAAGAAAACGTCCCTCTTCAGACAGAACATACCAGGGCACTGTAGTCATTCCGTATGTCAAGGGAATCTCCGAGAAATTCAGACACATCGGGAACCATTTTCAACTCGGAATCATCTTGAAAACTAAACGTACACTCCGTGGGAAATTGATGAAAACTGGACCTGTTAGGGATGCCCAGCAGACGAAGCAGTGTGTGTATAGCATCCTGTGTGACTGCAGTACATGTTATATGGGCAAAACAAGCAGACCCCTAGAAGTACGCATTAAGGAACACAAATATAACATGACACGGGGTCTGCTGGAAAAATCTAAATTAGCCCAAGATGCATACTAGGAAGACCACAAAATTTGTTGGAATGAAGCAAAGGCCTTGCAGATTGAGCCCAACACCACGTACAGGAAAGACAAGGAATCACTCCACATGTCTCTGCTGGACCATCTGATCAGTCAGCCCAGTGTGGACATCTCTCCTATATGGACCCTGGTCATCACAGCAGAAGTAAAAAAATGTTCCAAAAATGAACAGTAATACTGCGCACTGACGGTCTGCTGTCGGGGAACGGTATGTGTTAGGATAACACCATCACAGTCATACACGAGAATCACCATTACTTTCACACTGCTGGAGTTCTGACAAACTTTTGATTTTTGTGGTGACCTGTAATGACCCCATTCGTTTGATTGGCGTTTCATTTGTGGCTCGTACGATTTGGCCCATGTCTCATCCAGCGTAAGAAAGCCTCTCCTTCGCGCTCACAGCGCTCCAAGTTGTTACAAGCAGTGTCGTATCGTAGCCATTTCTGCATTTCCGTCGAATCATGCGGAACCCATCGTGATGCAATTTTTCTCATGCCCAAGTGTTCCTTCAGAATGTGAAGCACAGTCGTATGTGCTAATCCTGTCTCTCGGGCCAGCTCACGAATTGTATGGCGGCGATCACTCTCCAGAAACGCGGAAAGAGCATAGACTTCCTCACTGACACTAGGACGACCTGGCCAATGCATGTCTGTCACATTTTGGTGTCCCTCGTTGAAGGCTTTTACCCACCTTGCCACTGTTCTGTAAGGCAATGAAGATTCCCTGCAAGCCTCCTGAAGACTTTGATGACACTGTCGTGCTGTATGGCCTCTGGCACATTCAATTTTTATCCAACTCCGTTGTTCCTGTTTCGAAAACATCGTGGCAACACTACATTAGACCGCCAGCTAACACGAGGCTCTGTTCTTCTCGTCACTGCGCATGCGCGTAATGTGGGAAGT